TTCATAATGAAATGGAAGAAAAATACTTACATGATTAACAGATTTTTTTTTTTAAATGTGGATATACCCCCTGGATATAAAAATATATTTAGTTGGAAAGGACATTTTTGTTGTAATTCTCTGTTCCTCATACCCTCTAATAAAGTTTTAAACTGATTTGTTCTTTAGGATCTAGCAACATTTCTCTTAATTTTTTTAAATTTTAAATTTTGTTTACTATAATACATTGCCTCGGGGCACATGAAACATTCAAAGTTAGTAACAAGTTGCTGCAAGCTTTCAAATACACACTTGCTTTATATCAAAATACATCCAGGGCAATGTTTTAGGTTCCACATGTGAAGGTATTTTTCATCTAGTGATAGAAGATAAAGGGTACTCGAGTACTGGTGGAATCTTCAACTATAAGAAGGTCCTGGATCACTTAGATGGATGATCCTTTATTCCAATACACACAGGTGGACTCTTATTCCTGTGCAGACAAACACACCAGTGCAGGACCAGGGCTTCCACATGGCACTGAATTAGGGAAATACACATGCCTAAGTCATTTTGATGACTGATTAAAACATTTTAATTTCATCGTCACCACCAATGAGAAACACGACTTGAGGAAAGAACAATAATGGGATAAGAACTCGCAAGACTTCTGCAGCTAAAGTCAGGTGCTCCTACTTCAGACTGCCAATGTCTGCTGCACTACATTAGTTCAAGCAGCGATTCTACAATGCATTGGGGTGAACTGTGCACAAAAACTAGACCCATTCTCACCTTATTCCAGGACTCTCACAATATCGATACAGTATATTTTATGCATTTTAGAGGTTAGAGACATCCTGTTCTGTAGCGTGTACACAGCCCCTCAATGTTGATTCCATTATGGCTCATGTTGCATCAAATTCCCAGTTAGCACCAGCTGCACCAGAGCACGCCATGCAGTATCATCCAACCAAGTGCAAAGTCTGAAGCCTCCTCCTCAAATTATGCTTGGTAGAAGCCATATTGATCACCAGCCTGGTATAAAACAACACATACTGAAAACTGGGATTCTGAATCCTTGACAACCCAATCTCTTGAGAGATGAAAAACCAGTGAAACTAAATACCAATCTCAGCCCCAATTTACACCTCTTAACACTTTCCCATCTTGCCTTCCTCTGTGCTCATCACTACAAGTACCAAGGCACTCCCCAACTTAACCCCCCTCTCCTCAGGGTTGTATTTCCTCACTGTTCTACCAGCTCAGGCACCCTAAAAGGTGACTTTCAAAGGGATATAGCTAACCACAGAAAAGGAGTGTAGCAGCCTGCCGTGGGATGGTAATTTATATTTTCTGTATTCAAAAATTACATTTTGTATAACAGCAAAATACAGTTAAAATAGTTCAAACTGACCAGGCATCACAATTAGGAGACTGAATGGAAGAATAAGGCCAATACTTTCTTTGAAGAAGAATATAAATATGAACTAGGCAAATAATTAGTTAGGAGAGTTGGATGACTCATTTAGTTTTTCATCCTATACCTGAAAGAAGAGACTTATAATTATACTCCATAAAGTCCAGAAATCTTAAAGTCCAGAGTATAAAGTGGACTTCAACCACTAAATCAAAGTGTGTGCTGGCTAAGCCCTTGTATCTGGAATTTTGCAAGTTATATTCCAAGATATGTGAAATATGTAAGAATTTTTTATTCCATAAGAAATGCAGCCATGTTTTTTCTAAACCTCTAATAGACTTTAGACCATTTTTGCAGAAGATTCTTACAGACCTATCTCCCTTCCAACCTCCCAGGTTGATTCTAAAAAATTATTTAATTTTTTGACCCACCAGGAAAGATCACATAGACCATTGTTATAATTCACAATTATCTTCTTACACTTCTTAATGGTGACTGATGTGAACATTAAAAACAGTGAGAGTGGGCTGATGCCTAGCTGCTGGTAGCACGAACAGCTAAAAAGACAGTTTGAGAGCTTTACTCTAATTTGAAAATTGCTACAGAAGGCTGCATCCATTTCTCTAACATGAAGCAAAAATTATGATGTTAGTACTAAGTAGCTGTTAACTAGTACTAATCAGCTGTAACGCTAACTGGTACTGTTTGCCAATTATTTACTAGCCACCTCTTCCCCTTCCATACTGATGGCATCACAGCAAGAGAAATGTAAAATACTAAACTGCCTCCCAATAAAAGCCCAACAATGTATGAGAAGTTACTTTATTTCCTCTTTTAAATATACATATACAAGATATTTTATTTCAAAAGCACAATAACATTATACAAGTTTCAAATTTACATTTTTGCAGTTAAGGATACCAATATACGCATTATTCAAATAACTTCCTCAGTTTATCTTGGATGGAATTCAAATCAGTGGCATAAGTATCTTGCAATCACTAAATACAGATAATACTCACAGTGAACCAAACTGCATAGTAATTTATGAAATGAGAAATGACCACACTCATTAGTGATGATCTGGGAGCCCATTCGCTAGAATAATAAGTGCAAACGTACAGAAAACGATGCTAAATTTCTTCCTTTGCCCTCATTTTCCTACCTCTCCCAACTACAGAAAGACAATTGGGAATGTTAAGGAAGAGTTTGCCTGCTCAAACCAGCTTCTGTTTCTGTATAGTACAGTTTGAATTGCTCATTACCAACACCACAAAATAAAGTGATCTTGCTGCATGTCTGTTAGCTGAAATTCATGAGTACAAATTTCTTGCATCATTGAAAGTGCAGGGAGTACTGAAAATATCTGATACATGACTAGATAAACCACAGGGGAAACAGTAAGTGAACACAGCTATGAAGTCAGTGCTGAAGTCCGTGAAGCATGTTTGCTAATTTCAATACAGTGCTTTGGCTGGTAAGCAGTATTATTGGTAACCTTTGAACTAGCCACTGCACACAAGTCTCCATGGAGCTGGTTTTCCTAACCCAAGGTTTCAATCACAGATTAGACAAGACTAACAACACTGTTGTTTCTTTGCAGAGGGATTTACCTTCAGTTTAAAAAACTGAAAATATCAAAATGAAGAGAGAATTCTTCATTGCAATAAGAGGAAAATAGGAAAAGATACTGAAGATAACTATTTACACTGTCTGGGGAAAATAAGCTGAAAAAAAGAGCAAAAATTTTAAGGACTATTTGAATGCTAGAAAATAATGATTTGATATTCCAACCCATTTGAATTCCACTTTTAAATGAGTAGTGACTGCAGTTCACTAAGGACTTCAAGAAACTAGGAGGAGGATTATTATACTTAAGCATGAAATCATGATTTGTGATTCTCCCTCCCACCTGGCATGTCCCCTCACTGCACCATTAAGAAAAGAATGCAAACACTGTGGTGTGTGTGTGTATGTCACACACACACACACAGAGCGGACCATTGCTAGAATGTGTGTCCATATAGCGCAAATTCGGTTATAGCGCAGGACCGCGGATGGATCCCAAATTTAATTACTGTCATTGGAATCCATGTTAACACGGTCCCCGCGTTAACACGGGACCGCGCATGGATCCAAAACTCTGCTTTCTAGTGGAGGTTGTGTGTGTGCGCGTGTGCACACGTGCTCTCAAACAGCAGGTCACAAAATTCTTTATAGCCCTCCCTTTCTAAGCCTTAACAGAGCATTAAAAAACAACACCCCCCCCCCCACACACACACACAAACAGCAAGAGGGGAAAGTAGAACACACAGATCTAAAATGCATTCTCTGGATAGTTCAGCTTTTCAGACAGAGATGGCATTGCTTGGAAAAGTAATAGTTATAGGGAATTTATGTATTTAGAACTTTTACCTGTCACATCACAAGATCCCTTCATGTAAATTATTATGGCTAAAATCTGGGAAACAGAACAATGAGCTAATGAAAAATGGTTCAATCACAATATGCCATTAGTTATTGAAAAAGAGACAGACAACTATTTTTTTCCTTTAAGTTACAACAAGCATTTGGTTGGCTTGACTCCAGAAACAGACAGTTTATGGACAGCGCCAAACAGATAACACAAGAATGAAGAGAGGGAAGCCCCTCCAACATGGAGATACAAAGTATTGATTTATGCCTGTGTTTAGTGATTCTAAATAGATAATATTCCATGCTATCTTCTACAGGGTCTTGCTTTTTAATTCAACTTTAAATGGCTTTTATTTTACTGCAGTTTATGTTTTTTGCAGTGGACAGATGGCTAACCCACTGGATCAGCAATCTAGAGTTTGTCTCTGCACAGACTGCCGAGTACGATTACAAATATAGTAAAGCTGATCACAGCCACACCACACCAGTGTGGTGCTGGAGTCCTGGGTGTAGTCTCCAGAATTAGTAGACTAAAGCTACATTATATAAGGTGCAGTACTGGCAATGCAACAAGCACACACAGTTTAATTTTACATGCACCAAGCAAGATGGAAACACCCCCACACAATTCACTCCTTCTACCCCTCTTTTAAAGATTGGATTAGTGGAAACATCATTCCTCTGAAAGCACTCTCCAATAAATCCCAGGGTCTGGCACAGTGCAGGTTTCTGCTGCACCACTTAATGCTTGCTGAGCCTGTTGGTATGGATTAGTAGAGGCCTGGCACCACTTCTCCCTCTGAAAATATGCTACAGACCTTGGCCATTTTAAGTTCTAAGCCAGGGCTAGGAACCCAGACACACAGTACGGAGGAGGAGAGGTTGTACACAATTCCAGCTAGATTGTTGTAATTTCAAAAGACAAACAATTTCAACATCACATCAACCCTGATATGCCTATTGTACCACATGACTGTAAATATTAACAGCTTCCCTTACTTGGTTCTTTCCTAGCAACACACCTCCGGGTGTATTCCAGTGCCAGTAAATGACAGTTTGGGACTTTTGGTGTGTGCATATGGAAAGCAGGTGAATGTGGGAAGCTACACTCATCTAATCAGTAGAGACTATAACCTTTGGAAAAAGATATTTCTGTCCCTGAACATTCTACAACAGTCACCACATAGGGTTGTTTTTTTTTTTTTAAAAGGTAAAACCTATGAAATGAGAATTATTTTGTTTCAATGCATCAATCATGTGTCTGAACCCTTAGAGAAGGCTCTGTAATACTCCCCCTTTTCCTTTGTCCAAACATCATCCATACTCATCGGGATTTAATTAAAAGCTAGGACTCAGAGCAGGTGCCAGTTGAATCCAAAGATGATCTGATTGGTTTCCTGGCTCCTGGCAATCTCCTCTATGATGCAGTGTTGCTGCCATAGAAGATGAAGTTTCCGGTAACGTTCATGACATAAATGCAGGGGGTTGCCTCTTCTTCATGGGAGAAATAATGAGAACATTCATTAGGCATGTTACAACATTACATATACCCATCTTTGGGCCTTTTCTTTTCCTTCTCTCTTTCCTGGTTGACTCTATGACAATGTCAAGTGCAAATAAGTCTAGGCAAAGTGTCTATTAACAGTCCCAGATTAACTACCCAGGCTAATAACCATGGAAAATACTGAATGACAGTGTGATTGCTAACCATTTTTCACCACCAGTCTATCAGAAATGGGGCTGCTCAGAACTGTGCAGGAACTGCATGCAGTATAAGGGAAACAACAAAGAAAGGGGAAAAAATTAAGACTCCTGGCAAGTAAAAAGTTAAACATGCACTTACTTCAAGTCTGGGTCTGTTTCTCCATATTCATCGAGATAGGGAGCAGGATATAAGCAGCCTCTGGTTTTACCTTCTATCAGGACTACTCTGCATGCCCTGATTCTGAAAGCAAAAATAATCACGTTTAAAATATTATTAACCATATCATTTTGCAGGTACTATTTATAAGCAACCTTAAAGAAAGCTTAAACTTTGACAGGTCTATGCACAAAGTTGCACTGGCTTAACTAGAAGTGTTGTTTTAAACAGATTTAGTTAAACTAGTGTAACCCCCTGGATGAACACTGCTATACTGGTTTAAATCTAGCTTATATTGGTTTAGTTTACATCTGTAAATTAGCTGAAAGTTAAACTGATATAATCCAGATCTAAACCAACATAAAGGAGCATGCACTCAGGGGGTTACAAGAGTTTAACTAAATAAATTTTAAAAATCTATTTGAGCTAAACTGGTTCAATCTTTGTGTTCAGACAAGCCCGTACAGACTTTCACAAAAGCAATAAATATGTGATTGTATTGTATTAGATACCCGTGACATAAGGGGCCTTATCATCAATAAGAATAAAATGGTTACTTATCTGTTCTGTAACTGTTCAAGATGTGCTGCACATGTCCATTACACTTTTGGGTGTTGGTGTGCCCACTGCACAGCCATCACAAACGTATTTCTCAGTGGTACCGGTTGGGCAGCTCAAGCTCCCTCTGCTGTAGTGCACCACTGCATGCAGGTATAAAGAGCAGAGCTGCCCCTAGCCCCCCCTCAGTTCCTACTTGCTGGAACTTCGATGTAGAGGGGGACAAGAGGGTGGGTCATGGAATGGACACGTGCAACAACAGTTACAAAACAGGTTAATAACTGATTTTTCTTCGAGTGATTGTACATGTGCATTCTAAACTTGGTGACTCACAAGACATAAGAACAGGAGATGGGATCAGAGTCTATTTCAATAAAGACTGGAGAACAACTTTTGTCCAACTCTAGCATGCTCTCTGAAGTCTTGCCTCCCACTGTGCTGTGGCTCAAATGTGTGGACTGAGGTGGTTGCTGCTGTACAAATGTCAACAACTGGAACTTGTGCTAGAAAAGCCGCTGAGGCCAACTGCAACCTCACCGAATGAGCTGAGAGACTGTCTGGCAGAGCAACATTAGCCAAGTCATAGCACATATGTACACAGGATGTGATCCAGGAAGAAATTCTCTGGATGGAGACAGACCTCTTTTTCTGTCTGCCACTGCTATGAACAGTTGGGATGATTTAAGAAAGTGTCTGGTTCTGTCCAGGTAAAATGCTAAGGCTCTCCTCATGTCCAAGGTATGCAAATGCTCTTCTCCCTTGCTCATGTGTGGCTTTGGGTAAACTACGGGCAAATAAATTGGCTGGTTTACGTGGAAAGAAGAAACCACCTTTGAGAGAGAATGCAGGTCCTTAAAAAAGATCATATACGAAGGCATTAATGCACATTAATGCCCACAGATCCCCTATTCTTCTGGCAGAGGTAATGGCCACCAAAAATGCCACCTTAATTGATAGATGCAGCAGAAAGCGAGTAGCTAGTTGCTTTAATGGAGAACCCATATATCTTGACAATACTAAGTTTAGATCCCACAGGGCAACTTGATCTTGCATCTAAGGGTTTAATTTGACTAAGCCTTTTAAAAACTTTATTGACATATCATTAGAGAAAATAAAGTGATTGTCCACTTCAGGATGGAGTACTGAAATAGTTGTTGTATGTACCTTGAAGGAACTTGCCCCCAAACCTGGTTTTGTGTTTCAGGTATAATAATTCAGGCCCAGAATACGTTGAACTGAAGAACTTGTCGGCGATAATCCACACTGGCGAGAACAGATGGAAAAACATTTCTATTGACAGAGGCAAATTACTCTTGTAGAAGGCTTTCGGCTATTCAGCAGGATCTCGATGTCTTTCAAGTAGGCCTGCTCTCTAGTGCCTACCGATAGAGCATTCCTGCAGTTAAGTGAAAGGACTGTAGGCTCAGGTGGAGTAGGCAACTGTGATCCACTAGACTTGGACCTAATCTCCCAGGAAGTAAAATTAGAAGTTTCACTGATAGTGCCAGGAGAGTGGAGAACTTGTGCTGATGGGTTCATGCTGTGGCTCTACGTGTGATTCTGGCCTGGTCCTGTCTTATCTTTAGTAACACCTTGTGAATGAATGGAATTGGTGGAGAAGCACAGAGAAGCTTATCACCTGTTATGGAACCAGGACTGTGACTCCGTAGGGAGCAGAATTAGTGGACACTTTCTGTTGGACTTTGTTGCAAATAGGTCTATCTGGGGAAGCCCCCACTGCTGGAAGATGTACCTGGCCACATCTTGCAAAGACATCACTCGTGATGACTTGTAAATGATCTGTTCAGGTGGCCTGATAGGTTGTTCTGTGTCCCTGGCAGGTAAGATACTTCTAGATCTATCAAGCTGGCAATACAGAGCTCCCAGAGTAAAGTTGCTTCTGGACAGAGAGGAGAAGAGCAGGCTCCCTGTTGTTTGTTGAGGTAAAACATTGCCATTGTGTTGTCTGTGAGGACTAACAAGCTGCTTCCGCTGATCTACAACAGAAATACTTGGCATGCTAGGCTGACAGGTTTCATTTCTCTGACACTGATGTGTAAAGCTGAGTCTTCTGAGGACCACAGACAGAGTCTGTCGAGAATCCAGGTGGGCTCACCACCCCAGATCAGAAGCATCTGTCACTAGCATGAGAGTTGGCTGTGGGTGGGTAAACGGAACGCCCACACATACATTGGCAGAATTTGTCCACCGATCTAGGGAGGTGAGGATAGGTGGAAGGGGCCATATGACCTGTAAACCTCGAACAGTTTTGTACAGGTGTGACGGGGTAAGCCTTCAAAGTCTAACAATTGAATAGATTGCCCGGAATCTGGATACTGGAAGAAAGGCCCTGGCTTGAGAGGAGTCCAGTACAGCCCCCATAAACTTTATCCTCCAGGCCTGGGAAAAGAGAGATTTTTCTGTGTTGAATAACAATCACACTGCATTGAACATTGATTGGATCAGGTCAAGACTGTTCTGTACTTGCAATGTAGACTGGCCTCTTACAAGCTAGTTGTCCAGACAGAGGTAAATCTGAACTCCCAGTCTTCAGAGTAATGCAGCTACTACTGCCATGACTTTTGTAAAGACTCTGGGAGCTGCTTACTCGCTGAAAGCAGTACAGTGAAGTGGTAATGATTTTGATTTACCAGAAATTGGAGGCACTTCCTCTGACATTGATTGATTATCACCTGGAAATAGCATCTTTTAAGTTGAGGATGACATACCAGTCCCCCGGATCCAGGGAAGGGGTAATAGAAGCTAGGATGATCATGCAAAACTATCTTTTTTTAAAAGCGACAAAGAGTCCTGTGACACCTTATAGACCAGGGGTAGGCAACCTTCCAGAAGTGGTGTGCCGAGTCTTCATTTATTCACTTTAATTTAAGGTTTCGCGTGCCAGTAATACATTTTAAAGTTTTTTAGAAGATCTCTCTACAAGTCTATATTATATAACTAAACTATTGTTGTATGTAAAATAAACAAGGTTTTCAAAATGTTTAAGAAGCTTCATTTAAAATTAAATTAAAATGCTGATCTTACGCCACCAGCCTGGGGTTCTGTTCACCTACGTTGGCAGCGGGCTGAGCGAGGGCTGTGGCTCGGACGGCGGCTGGCAAGGGGCCGGCAGCCGCGAACCCAGACCTGTGGGGGGGTTCAGGGTTCAGGGCAGAAAGCTGGGTGTGTGGGGGGGGTTCAGGGGTCAGGGCAGAGGACTGGGGGTGTGTGGAGGTGCAGGGCAGACGGCTGGGTGTGTGGGGATCAGGGGTCAGGGCAGAAGGCTGGGGTGCTTGGCTCGTGGGGGTGCTCCCAGCCCCCTGCCCTGAGCAGCTCATGGCAGGGGGCTGGAAAGGATATGCCCTGTTCCACCCCCATCCCCAAGGCCCCGACCCTACCTCTTCTCTGCCTCCTCTACGGAGCAGCAAGCACACTGCCATTCCTCCCCCTCCCAAGGGCCATCAGCTGATCAGTGCAGGGAGGGAGAGGAGGAGGGGCAGGAAAGCAGCACGGTGGGGGAAGAAGCGGGGGAGGGGGGAAGCTTGGCTGCCACAGGACCATGCTTCTGCCTCCTGCCCCGGCAGGGGAGAGCAGGTGGGGGGGGGGGGGGAGGTGTGGTTGGG